AGAAAGTCACCTTCACCATTTTGCCTGTGGTATCTGTACAAGGGGGTGAATTCATCTCTCCTCAGGGTCTCCCAAATCCGCACAGGCTTCCTGATTTGCCATGATGAGGTAACAGACTGGTTTTCTGGGGAGGCTTTGTGGTTCTCCAAATGAAGTACAACACCTCTTTGTTTTCTTTCCTATTTTTTTTTTTTTTTTTTTTTTTTGAGTGAGCTCTATGCCCGGCATGGGGCTCGAACCCCCTGTTTCTGAGATCAGAGTTGTATGCTCCACTTGACTGAGCCAGCCAGGCACCCCAGTGCGTATTTCTTAATGATGGGCTTGTCACACCTGATTAATTGAGATTCATTCTCAAGTATGACACTCGAGGTCCAGCCTTGCGTGTACCGTGCATTTGTTTGATTACGTAGTGGTAAAAATCAGAACAAAGTCTTACTGCACCTTTGCGAGTAACTGCATTGCCATTAATAGTAAAGAGACTCTGAAAAGAGTATTGTTCACGAATCCTGAAAGGTCAGTGAGAATAAGAAAGCCATTTAAAAATGTTTCAAGTGAAAATGTTGGAAAAAGCGTGAACTACTAGGTTAATAGTAAAAGATAAATCAGGAAGAATAAGAAGGGGCTTCAGACACCTATCAGAAATGACGACAATAAAAAGTAATACCAACACTATCCCCAAACAAATAATCCAAATTATATTTCCTTCATCGGTTCTTTTAGTCCTGTGTAATTATTTTTTGTTCCTCTGGCTTTTGGGTCAGCAGTTTGCTTTTATGAAGTCATCTGCCTCTGCCCTGGAAAGAGCCCTGGAACTCAATACTGGCTCTCCTCTCACCTGGCAATTGTCTAAGGAATATCACCTGGGAAGCTGGCAGTGATGAGTCTGTTACTTGAAGTATCGATCAAACTTGGTCCAGTTCTTTCTGTGAGGGTTTGAGACCGTCCTCCTTGGTTTAAGACCCATTTTCTAGACTGTGACTTAGTGTGGAGTTTTTATGTAAGCCTGAGGGGGGAGCAGAAACTACCTGCTGATAAGACTGAATGGCTGTAGTTAACTTATTCCATATCTAACAACATCCTCATGGAGGAGAGCATAATCCCCTTTCAGGGTATAGTGCTTAACTATTTAATACAGATTTGATCGGTATTCACCTGGAGGATAAGGACATATCATGGGCAGGGAAGGCATTAATAAGCCCCCAGGGTCATTTTGTGTAATGAGACATTTAAATTGATAACATTTTACCTGGACAAAGGCAAGGGAAGACCGACTCTTCCTTTGATTTGACATTTCTTTGCATGAGGCTCTCAGAAGCTGAGGTTGTAGCAGGTGGGGTGAAGGGGACAGAGAGGGCGGAAAGGGGAGATCAGAGGTAAAATGAAGGACACTGACCCCGCAGAAGCTGCAGGCAGTGAGAGTGGCAGCCTCTGGCTTCCTGAGATGCACTGGGGCTCTGCACCGTGTCAGGAGCAGTCTTGTTTCTGGACCTGTCGCCGACATAACATTTCGTACGCTCACAAATGGCGATTAGGGCTGTTGTTGATAACATTTTATGTTTGATGTCATCTCCCTTTTGAACCTTGTTTCTCTGTGGTAACAAAAACAGTCATGTAGTCACTTGTAGATAAATTCTGTTAATTCCCAGTTGTATCTCAGTTGCAGGAAGTAGGGGTTGGGTGAGGGCCTAAGCCCTGCTACGTTGCTGGGAAGTGGCTCCTGGTGTTGTCTTTCTCTGGCATCCACCTGCATGGAGTTGTTAACATCTCCAGTTAGTTGGCCAGCCAACTAACTGAAGTGCATGCTCCTTGCATCCAAAGAGAGAGAGACATTTGAGATCCCAGTATGACCTGTGCTGACCATGACCATTAGGTCATACGGAGTGCTCTTTCTTCTATGTCCTGCTCTTCTGGATTTACTAGTCCTCACACAGCCCCCTCTCTGGCCCCCTTCAGGGCCCCAGAACACTTGAGGATGTACTTCCATAACCTTTTAGTGTCAAGAGAGATTGATGAGGTTGCTGTCTCAAGCCCTCTGTCCTTGGATCTGCTTGGCAGCCATTTCTATTTTATGCAGAGGATCTTTTCACCAGGCTTGCCCCAGATTGGATTTCCAGTTGGTAGGAGAGCCCAGATCCTCTCTGTTGCTGGGAGCTGGTCGCCTGCCTGTGGTTTCATAAGTGCCTCTTCCCTGCCTGGGACCCAGAGTTGGGTTGGAGACGGGGGAGACCACTGGGGAGTAGAACCTTTCCTCGGGGCTCACCTGCCTCCACCACTTCTTCTCCTTCCCGAAATGTTGCTTCTTGTAGCCCCAGCTTGGATCAACACTGGATGTGAGTGTTGAAGGTGTGTGAGGGTGGAATCTGACGCCTTTTCTGGCAAATCTTACAGCACATCTCACAGCACTCTGCTTCTCCCATCCTTTTGTCTTTTGCATTGCAACATACCCCCTTCTTGCAAATCAGAACTGTATTGTCTCAGCTTTAAATTTTAAGAGCATTTCTAGGAAGGCAAAGCCAAGTGGTTATTTGTTCTCTTGATTTTTTTCTGGCATCTCTCCTTGATGTGGTCCCTAAAGACATTGTAGAGGGTGGAGTCATCCTTGAATATCTCTGAATATTTCCTCTCACACCTCTCAGTGGCCCTGTGACCTTGGACAAGTTACTTAATAAATAGCTTTTTAAAATCTGTCCTCTCTGTTATGCCAGTCCAGCCCATAGATTATAGAGAAATGATTGTCGAGGAGCAGGAGGAGGAGGAGGAAGAGGAGGAAGAAAGAAAGAAAGAAAGAAAGAAAGAAAGAAAGAAAGAAAGAAAGAAAGAAAGAAAGAAAGAAAGAAAAAGAAAGGAAAGAAAGAAAAGAAAAGAAAAGAAAGAAAGAAGGAAAGAAATTACAGAGAAGGAGACGAAACTGAAATACTGTGTTAGGCGTGGATT